ATTGAACATCTCCAGTGCTGTGGAGATGTTTAAAGTTATTGGCTGGGTTTATTTATAATGTTAAGTATTGCTTGTTTTGGTGAGGTGGTAATGTGATGCATCAACCCAGATGTTGCAGCTTAGCTGCTTAACTGAACAAGCCAGGTTAAAATTGTCCTGGCATAAGGTCAGGCATGAATACAGACCATTCCTCTTGACAATTATATTTGTATGTAGAGGTTTGCACTGCAGTCTGCGAAGTTCAATAAGGCTTACTTCAGAGTAATCATACATAAGACCAAAAGAGGAATATATCAGGGGTGAAATCCAGCAGTAGTTCGGAGAACTGGCAAATACCACCACTGGCTGCTCCCAGAGTGGGGAGGGGGAATGGGGATTTTGCAGTATCCTTCCCCCAGGAGTGGGGAGGGAATGGGGATTTTGCAGTATCTTTCCCCGCCATGCCCATCAAGCCATGCCACGCCCACCAAGCCACACCATGCCCACCAAGTCACACCTACAGAACCGGTAATAAAAAAATTTGAATTTCACCACTGGAATATACTCCTTTTCAATTATTTAAATGCTACTTCCTGTGATCTATGCCATTAAAACACTTGATCAGGCTCTTTCTAGAAAAATAAGAAACAATGGATAGAAACTAACCAAGGAGAGAAGCAATTTAGAACTAAGGAGAAATGTCCTAATGGTGAGAGCAATGAATCAATGGAACAACTTGCCTTCAGAAATTGTGGATGTTCCATCACTGGAGGCTTTCAAAAAGAGAATAATTTATCTGAAATGGTATAGGGTTTCTTGCTCCAGCAGGGTGTTGAAGTAGAAGATCTCCAAGGTCCTTCCAACTCAAGAGCCATGGTAGCACAGTGATTAGAATGCAATACTGCAGGCTACTTCTGCTGACTGCCAGCTGCCAGCAGTTTGGTAGTTCGATTCTCATTGGCTTAAGGTTGACTCAGCCTTCCATCTTTCCAAGGTCGGTAAAATGAGGACCCAGATTGTTGGGGGACAATATGCTGACTCAGTGAATGCTGTAAAGCAGTGTGAAGTGGCATATAAATCTAAGTGGTAAGTGCTATTATTATTCTATGTTCTGTACTGTGAGTTATACAGAGTATGTAGGTCAATATATATTCTCCCCTTACTAGAGAGATTGCCAAGGAGGACAGACGACTCTTATGTAGGCTTTCTCCTCCAAGACTCAAACCCGGCTACCACGTGGGCAGTGGCAAAATTCTGTGTCGCTGCAATGTCCACAAGAAAAAAATTGGTTACAGAATTATAGATGTCAACTGGTGCCAATTTTTTGGAGATATCTATAACAATTATTGGAAATATATATTTACTCACATACTAATCGGATCTCCACTCATGTAAATTAGGGAGGGACCCTAATGGTTTGAGATCATGTATTTTCATAACAGGGATGTTATTATTCACGATTAATGTCAGTATTATTTTTAATTTATTGTATGTCTATTGCTGGTCAATGACCGTAATAAAGTATTTATTCTTATTCTATTCTATGTTCTAGCTGTTATCATATTGAACATCATATTGAAATGTTGAGCTCAATTATTAGGACTACCTGGACTTATGACCATAACCGAGCTCAAAATTTCCATTGCTAAACTGTTGTTGAGTTTTGCTCCATTTTACAATCTTTCTTGTCATAGCTGTTAAGTGAATCACTAAAATTGTTAAGTTAGCCAGATGGTTGTTAAGAGAACGTGGCTTCCCCGGTTGGTGTTGCTTGACCTCAAGAGTCTGCAACCGTCATAGATACATGCCAGTTTCCAACCATCTGAATTCTGATCATGTGACCATGGGGGTGCTGCAACAACAGTGTGAAAAATGGTCATGTCACTTTTTTCAATGCCATTATAACTGTTAATGGTCACTGAGCAAATGGATGTACGTTGAGACTACGTGTATTAAACCCTTATTTTCAGATATAATTCTCAAAGGAGTACATCAAGGAATAATTAATATACGCGTAGCATTTCTATCGTAGCATGGATTAAAGTTGCTTTATCTTTAAGAGCCGTGGTGGAGCAGTGGTTAGAATGCAATATTGCAGGCTAATTCTGCCGACTATCAGCAGTTCGATTCCGACCGGCTCAAAATTGACTCAGCCTTCCATCCTTCCAAGGTCGATAAAAAGAGGACCCAGATTGTTTGTTGAGGGCAATATGCTGACTCTGTAAACCGCTGAAAAAGGGCTGTAAAGCACTGTAAAGTGGTATATAAGTGCTATCGCTATTTATGGATACTGAGCCTTTTTCTTCCTTTCCCCCTCTTCCATTAACCCGATAATAAAATCTTCTGCATACAAGATTAGATTATCCCATGGCTATAAGAGAGCCTCAGTTACCACTCTCCTAAGGAGACCCTGATCTGAAACATTGCGAGGCAAGGAGAAAGAAGGATGTGGTTAGAAAAGGCATCATTTAATCGCCTATCTTCCCTCTTAAGGCTCCCCTTTGGAGGAGGATCTGTTCTTTTTGCAACTAGCAGGTTTCCTGTTTCCTTTCCTCTGTTGTGTCTTCCTGACATCCAAGCTACAGAGATGAATGGGGATGGGTTCTGCAACTTCCTGGGATGGACAGAGGCCTGCGAAGGGAGGAGCGATTATGAGCTTTTTTCCCCCCTTGAAATGTTTAGCTCCCCTCCATTAGAAGAAGTGATAATAACTGTGTTTCCTGTGCTTTGATATTGTGCTGACAGGGTCTGCATAAAACCCTCCAGCTCAGTGAATGAGATAAAAGTAAGATTGAGGGAGAGAAATAGGCAAATCTGCTTGTGCGCCAGTTGCCAAAGAAAATATATAAGAGCACAACGGCGAACCTTTTAGCTTAAATTCTTGAAAGATTGGGGGAAAGGATTGAATCCATATATATATTTTCTGAGGTTTTCGCGGGTGTTTGGCTCCTGGAGGCACGAAGCCGAAAACACCAGCCTGAAGATGACGAATGAGACTTCGTCGAAACGTCGCCAAGATACTTCCAATTTTACGCGGGAGAAAACCCGAATAACCAAAGACCTACATATACATATACATATACATATACATATACATATACATATACATATACATACATACATACATACATACATACATACATATATATATATATATATATATATATATATATATAAGTCTGTGCCGCCCCAATCTGTCATGACTCCATACAAATCCTCGAGGTGACAACCTCAAAACCAGTTGTTTGTGATCTGTGAAATGTTTCAGTTGCTGTCTTTTGGGAGAAATGCGTAGACCAGGGGTGTCAAACTCGATTTCATTGAGGGATGCATCAGGGTTGTGTTTGACCTCAGGGAGACAGGGTGGGCATGGCCAGGGTGGGTGTGGTCAGCTCGCTGTCACTCATGTCGGGGGCGCTGTGGTGGCCCGAGCGCTCTGCCAGTGAAAATGGGTTCCTGACAGAGTGGGTTCTACTTATCGCTACTGCTGGTTCGCAATGGGAGCGCACTTGCGCATGCGCAGAAGCTTCTGCGCATGTGCAGATTGTCAATTATGACGTCCGGTTGGGTGGGGGGAGCCTCCCGCTCCTTTAACTACCAGTTCTAAAGAACCGGACAGAACCGGGAGCAACCCATCACTGGCTCCTGAGCTCTGTGTTTTTAGCTGCCACGCCTCCTGCAACCCTCGGCCAGTGAAAATGGAACTCAGGAGGGCGGCTCCGTTTTCACTGGCCGAGGGTTGCAGGAGGCCGTGGCAGCTGAAAATGGAGCTCTGGTTGCCGTTTTCTTTGGCAAAAACACCACGGGCCTGTCCTTTGCTTTTCCAGGGCAGCCCCCAGGCCAGATCTAAGTATCCCATGGGCCAAATCCGGGTCCTGGGCCTTGAGTTTGACACCCCTGTAGACAGATAAAACATACATAACACAGTTCATAATGATCAAAGCACAATAAGGTCCTAAAGAATACACCTCACCCCTCCTCCTTAACGAACACTCGTAAATTGTCCCAACAATTTCAATTTTAGAAAGTTTGACAAGCATCAGAACCTGGCTGAATTTCCAAGTCTTGTTTGATTTTTCTAAAATGGCCTATTTAGGAGGCAGGTGAATCCCAGCTGTTTTCAGGCGCACTAAATATTGCTTTGGGGTTACTTTGACTCAAGGCGAATCTATTTGAATTTTTTTTTTTAAAAAAAGAGCTTTTCTCTGTTTGAGATTTATACCTATTTATAGTACTTATATTCCTATAAAAGATACAGCACATAAATCATATACCAGAATTGGCGAAATTATGCCAATTTTCCTGGAGGGGGGAAAAAACTTTTTTGAGAGCAAAGAATTGCATATAAAATTCTCTTCATATCCAAGCCGGTAGAAATCAGTAATCGGTCACTTGTCCCAATGAAGGCAAAATCAGTGAAATAATTTCCAAAAGTAAACGTTCTTTGCAGCCAGGCTAAAAATGCAATAAGTTACAATGCTCAGGATTTGCATTCATGATGGTTATCAGCCAACTGGTGAAATCTACTTCATTTTTCATAGAAGCTTAGCTTGTACTAACTTTAATGCTAAGTCTTCAGGTTGCAGACCAATAGTATTTTATCTGTAGTTAAGGGGTATGTATGCATGCAAGGCTTTGTCTGCCTTATCAAATGTCATAACTACTCAGCCATTTTCAAAAAGAATGGCCCAGTTCCAACACTGTGCAAACTGTGCAAAACCAGGGTTCATTTTAAACATGATTTATTAAGCAAGCCACCATTGACTTAAGTCATGCTAATACAAAGGCGCCACATCTTTACACAATGTGAGAATTGGGGATTATTATTAAATCTTTCAGGCAAAGTATTGCTTGCTGATTTACAAGAATCCAACACCACACATCTCCCAGTCTAACTTAGCCTGACTTTCAGAATTTTGTCCAATTGTTAAGACTCCCATACTGCACACTGGAGTCAGTCGATTAAGTTAATCAATTAATTAAGCCTTTTCTAATTAAATATAAGGTCACCAGATAAGGTATATTTAAAAGTTTTTATTAAACTTGCCACCAAACAATTCTTAACGTTCAATATAATAAAACCAGTGTGTATAACGCATGTCAGAATAGACATCATGCAGCACTTTGGGAAAAATTAAAATTCCGTACAGTGTACAGTTAAGTGCCACACCCAAGAATTTACAGACACAGTAATTTACTGCAATTAGTCACTTGAAAAATAGTTTCTGAAAGAAACATGCCTTGTACTCCATTCGCAGAGAGGGGAAAATGCCAGAGTACTTTAGGGTAAACTCTGAAAAAAATAATGTCTTTTAAGGTATTTTCTGTAACGAGAGTCCCTCTGAGTCCATCAGGATTAGAAGAAAGCCAACGCTGCTAATGTCTCTGGCAAGTATGTAATCTTGAAGAGTTGCTAATGGTGTGGTCTTTTTGCAGTCGACAGGTCAGTCCGTCCCCGCAGTAACAGCGCTGGAAGAGTTCCAAACCATGGGAGCCTTTTTTGTGGTGCTTTGTACACACCTGACCTTCCTTAAGGACAGGTTTGCAAATCTTGGACCAGAAGTGGCGGGCACAACAGAGTCCTTCAGCACAGTCTGAGGAGCGGAGACATACAGCACCTTCTTGGCCTTAGGAGCAAGAGAGAGAGAGAGAGAGAGAGAGATCGTTGAGAATACAGAATATTTGTTCAACAGTCTCATTTCGTACCAAGGTCATTTGAAGACTTTCCCTAACCTGATGCGGAATGGGACAATTCACCACAGCCAACTCGCTGCGGCCAACTTGCTATGGGACAACTCACTGTTGGACACTCAACAGTGAACTTTCTGATGGTTTTTTTTTTTTTTTTTTTGATAAGTTGTTTCGCTTCTTATCCAAGAAGCTTCTTCAGCTCTAGAGAAGAGCTTCGAGCTGAGGCAGCTTCTTGGATGAGAAGCAAAATGTCTTCAAAGAAAAGCCAGAAAGTCCAGTTGCCTCTTGAAAAAGCACTTTTGGGACAACCATGACCTGGATGACTGAGAATCTCTACAGTCATTGTGGGACCATTTAACAATTCAATTATTTAAAATAAAAAAAAATATTTTAAATGTTTGTCATTCACATTTTCATTCTGTCCCTTCTTTTTTCACCCTTGCTTTAATGATTCTATTCCACCATTTCTTTGTTAGTGTAACTTTTGTCTTGCAGCGAGTTGTCCCGAGACAAATTGGCTGTGGCAAGTTGTCCATGGCGAATTGTCATATATCCAACCTGGTGCTCTTCCCATGATCATTCCAGCAGCCTGGCAAGGAAGGGCAACGGGAGTAGTGAGCTGACACACTTGGGAGGCACAAAGATGGAGAAGGCCAAGCTAATCTAATAGATTTGGCTTCATTTGAGAGAAAGTCTGAGTTGCTACTATTGGCATCAACCACAAGGAGGAAATAATTAGCGTGCCAGCTGTACATACTGCCACAGGTTATCAAACTATATGTACCTGTAACACCCTTTGGTCCTGTGTCAAATACTTAAGCTCTCCTAGCAAGCAGAAATAGGTCCCTGCAAGCCATGTAAGAGAACAAGCAAGATCATATTCTCTAGCTAAAGAGTATTATGAGAAGTTATCTACTCCTTGGTGGCGCAGTAGTTAGAATGCAGTACTGCAGGCTATCTCACTGCTTTCTCCAACAGTTCGATTCTGAGCAGCTCAAGGTTAACTCAGCCTTCCATCCTTCTGAGGTCGGTAAAATGAGGACTCAAATTGTTGGGGGCAATATGCTGGCTCTGTAAACCGCTTAGAGAGGTCTGTTGTCAGGGTTTTGACAGATGCCCTAATTAAATCATGAGCCTCGGGCCAAGCTTCAAAAGAAATAGTTATTTATTAGGAGCTTCATGTCGGTAGTTCCCAAGTGAAGCCAGCTCTGACCCTATGTAATTTACGTCCCAATCATGATCCTGTTTCCCTCCTCCCCCAAGGTGTGTCATCAATCACATTCCACTCCCCTTGGGCCACTGTGGGTAACCCTGGGGTACACCCTTGAGAGATAAGTCTGGAATGTGCAGCTGCCGTGCCAGTTTGTCGGTTTCCCATCCCCACTTGCTTATAGCAACTCGAGAGCAGGCCAGGGATACTTGGCGAATTTACACTGCTTAGGGAGGTATGAAGTGGTATATAAGTCCAACTGCTATTGCTATTCATACTAAATTATTCACTGCAAGGAACAATTAGAACATTGGAAAAGCACCCCATAGAACTACAGCATGCAAATAAAATGCTGACAAAAATGAACAGAAATTGAAAACCAATCTAAATAACTAAACCTCACACAACAGTAGGAGTTTGAAGAGGAAATTAAAAAGCATGTCCATAGAGTCCTTAATAGTCTTTCTAACAGCAATTGAATCTGTACAGGTAGTCCTCGACTTACAATCGTTTGTTTAATGACCAAAGTTACAACGGCACTGGAAAAAAGCGACTTAACCGGTTTTTCACACTTAATGACCGTTGCAGCATCCATGTGGTCGTGTGATCAAAATTCAGATGCTTGGCAAGTGATTCATATTTATGACGGTCACAGCATCCTGGGGTCATGTGATCGCCTTTTGCAACCTTCTGATGAGCAAAGTTAATGGGGAAGCCAGATTCACTTAACTGGGTTGCTAACTTAGCATCTGGAGTGATTCACTTCACAACTGTGACAGGAAAGGTCATAAAATGGCACAAAACTCATTTAACTGTCTCGCTTAGCAACAGAAAATTTGGGTCATTAGTCGAGAACTACCTGAATTGCTTTTCAGAAGGTATTCAGAGTTTTCCAACATCTGATATTTTACATACTCCAAGTTCACTTGGATCAACCCAAAATCAAGCACTTTCTTTCAGCAATGAAATCAACATTACAACTGTTTATTCTTTCCCGGATTTAAAAGCAGTGCATTATTGTGGCCTTACCTTTTATGTGGTACATTTGAGATGAAGTTGTGGTCCTTTTCAGATGGGAGTCCACAGTACCATGGTCAAAATTTTCTATGATGATCTCTTCAAACCTTCCAGAATGAAAATGGTCAAATTCTACACACATACCTGATAAAGGAGGGGGAAAAAAAATCATGAACACCTGTCAACTTCCCACGGATAAAAAATAAAAAGTTAATTTCTGGACATTGGCTCACTATTCAGATGCTAGAAGACTGCAGATGATCCACTTATGCAGAAACTAACTACAGTTCACAGAGATTTATTCTGAATCCAAACCATGTAAATATATGGCTTTGGCAGACCTCTTTTTGGTTAGGTTTTCTCTGTTAACATAGGAATTTCCCTTAGCATTGGAGCCTGAATGAGGATCAGCAAGGAGTGTATCCAAGCACTGTTATCTTCTCATTAGAACCTTTCAAAGCTTGACTTGAGATAATAGGATAGCCTCAGAAAAAGGGTACAGCTTTGTAATCATCATATTGCACAAAAAATATCCAGGTTCTGCTTGGATGGAGTTTTATTAAATTTGAACAGCCCGTGATGATAAAAAAAAAAAAAAAAGATGCTAGTTAAGATGTTCTGTGGCTACTTGGCTCATGCAGAGAAAAAGAGTATTAAACTGTATGCAAGGAACTTTATGCATGAAAACTGTATGTAACAAATGTTTGCTTCTTTATAATTGCAGAACTCTAATAGCCCTTCTTAAACAAGCCAAAATAGCATGTCTTGTTCCTTGCACAACCTATTCCAAAATACGGAATATACACCTTATATTAACACAAGCAAAGAGGAGCAACCTGGAATTAAGGACAAACTTAATCGAGGACAATTAACCAGTGGAGCAGTTTGCCTTCAGAAGTTGTAGAGACTTCATCACTGGAGGTTTTTAAGGCAGCCACTTGTCTGAAGTGGTATTATAGGGTCTCTTGCTTGAGCAAGGGGTTGGACTAAGACCAGGGGTCAGCAACCCGCAGCTCTGGAGCCGCATGTGGCTCTTTTATCCCTCTGCTGTGGCTCCTTGTCGCCAGTCGGCTCCACAATTGATAGGGCTTTTGGTTAGGACAGGTAGAAAGGAAAAAAAGACGCCGTGCTAGGAGGAGATTCTATGGTGGGGGGAACCAGACTTCCGGTCGGCTCCAGAATTGAATGGGGGAGGGGGTGGCGGCTTCTGGTTAGGACCTTTGTGGCTCTTTGAATGTTTAAGGTTGCTGGCCCCTGGACTAGACCAGGAGACTCCAACCTTGGCAACTTTAAGCCTTGGCAGACTTCAACTCCCAGAATTCCCCAGCCAGAAAACTGGCTGGGGAATTCTGGGAGTTGAAGTCCGCCAAGGCTTAAAAGTTGCTAAGGTTGGAGACCTCTGGACTAAACGACCTCCAAGGTCCCTTCCAGCTCTATTCTGACTAGATTCCCCTTATTCCAAAAATAAGGATGCTTAGAATTTACAACCTAACCTCTTTTTTGGGGGGTTTTGCCAACATCCCTTGGCCTTAAAAATATATACATATACACAACACTCTCCTTGAAGGCATACAAGAGGAGACTCCAAACCCTACATAATCCACTATGAGTTAAGCTAAAAAAAAAAACCCAAACCCTGTTAGGTTAGAACAGAGTTTCTCAACCTTGGTAGCTTGAAGATGGGTGGACTTCAACTCCCAGAATCCCCCAGCCAGCAGCGCTGGCTGGGGGATTCTGGGAGTTGAAGTCCATCCATCTTCAAGCTACCAAGGTTGAGAAACACTGGGTTAGAACCTGGGGTCAAGACCCACCCACCCCCCAGCAGCGCAAACCAGGCCGGGAATCCCAGAAGAACGAGGGCAAGTCTGTTCCATCACGGACCTACCAAGCACTACTCTATGGTGATAGTAGTAGTCGTACTGTAGTAGTTGTACTACTGTAGTACTATTGTAGTAGTAGTAGTCCTGGACCAATGGAGTAGCGCTACTCCATGGTCCAGGTAAGACCTGAGCAAACTTGAGGGACACCATCTCCACCCCCTTTCAAGGACCCACAAAAGCCTTCCCCCCCAAAAAAACAAAAAAGACAATCCTTCGGATGGCAGGGTGAAACAGGGGAATTCCTTTATCAGACGGACTCTTTAAAAAGTTTCTCCGCTCCTTCCTCTTTCTTGGAAGAAAGGAGAGGAGGAAGGGAAGGGGACAGGAGTAGGAGTGAAGATGAGAAGGGGGAAAAGAAGAGAGAAGTGGGGGAAAGGAAAAAGGAAGTAGGATGAGGTAGGAGAGGAGGTAGGAGAAAGTAGGAGAGAAGAGGGAGGGAGGGAAGGGAAAGAAAGGAGGAGAAGGTTTGTTGTGGAATGAGGGAAGAAAGAGAAGAAGAGCAACTCCGAATGTAATTAAAATGTTTTCTTTTAATGCTTTCTTTAAGGGAAATATGTATATGTAGGATTTATTATGTATAAGAAAATGCATATTTTCTATTATGTGGGGAGGGGGAAAAGGTGGGGGGGAGAAAATTGTATTTCTTATAAAACTTTTCAATAAAAAAAAAGTTTCTCCACTCCTTCCTCTTTCTTGGAAGAAAGGAGAGGAGGAAGGGAAGGGGACAGGAGTAGGAGTGAAGGTGAGAAGGGGGAAAAGAAGAGAGAAGTGGGGGAAAGGAAAAAGGAAGTAGGATGAGGTAGGAGAAAGTAGGAGAGAAGAGGGAGGGAGGGAAGGGAAAGAAAGGAGGAGGAGAAGAAGGTTTGTTGTGGAACGAGGGAAGAAAGAGAAGAAGAGCAACTCCGAATGTAATTAAAATGTTTTCTTTTAATGCTTTCTTTAAGGGAAACATGTACATGTAGGATTTATTATGTATAAGAAAATGCATATTTTCTATTATGTGGGGAGGGGGAAAGGGTGAGGGGGGGGGGAGAAAATTGTTTGTATTTCTTATAAAACTTTTCAATAATAATAAAAAAAAGTTTCTCCGCTAGGCTCCCTCCCCCCCTCCCTCCCCCGAACCCTTAGACGCACCGTTGTTGCAAAAGTTGCCCGAGCAGCACATGGCGTGGCGGAAACAGCGCTTGCGGCGTTTGCGGCAGGTCAGACAAACCAGCCCACCTCCTCCTCCTCCTCCTCCTCCGGAGATGCCCCCCCGGGCAGGGGTGGAGCAAAACTCTTCGGCGTTGCAATCCTCGTCCGCATCACACAAGGCGAGCTGCGAGGGGGGGTGCAGAAGCGGAGGGGCAGGTGAGACGCAAGCCAAGGGCGCCCCCCCTCCACCCGGGTCATTCTCTCCCTCCCTCTCCTCCAACCTGTAGTACCGCCAAAGCCGGTCCCTCTCCGCCGCCCTTACCTTCTGCGAATCGCCGGCGCGGCTTTTATTGCTCCCGTCGTATATAGCCCCGCTCCTAAGCGAGGAGCCGCCGGCGGGCGGGTTCTTGATGGAGTTGGAACTCAACGCGTTCGCGTGGAAAGGGACGCCGGCGGCTGAGGCGGCGCCGGCGCCAAACCAGGCGGAGAAGCAGAGCGCCGCGGCCACGGCCGTCCAAGCCCGGCAGGATCCACGCCCGCGAAGCGCCAGCATCTTCGCCGACCGAAGCAACCTGCGGGATGAGGAGGAGGAGGAGGAGGAAGAGGAAGGCAGGCAAGGCAGGCAACCCGGTGCGTGATTTTTTTTTTTTCCCCCTCCCGCCCGGGAGTATCCTTTAAGGGACTCTGCAACGAATTGGAAACTCTCCTCAGGGGCTTTTGGCGCTGCCTTTATAGGCTCCACGCCTTTCGGATTCCCGCCTCTCCAAGGGGGGGGGGGGGTGTGGGGGGGGGGGGGGGGGGGGCGCGGGGGAGAAAGGAGGGGGGGGGGGGGGTTATACAAACGGGAGGGGGGGGTGGGGTGGGGGAGGTACGAGACCTCTCCACAAAGTCACGGGCTCCTTCTCCGTCTGCATTTAAAAGACCCCCCCCACTCTTTTGAAGACGGCAAAGTCCCATATTTTGGACGGGGAGGGGGGTTGAAAAGAGGGCTCCAAGAGACCATCTGTGTCAAAACCTTGATAGTACAGTGGTTCAGTGCACCCTGTTATTAACACAGCTGCCTGCAATTTCTGCTGGTTCGAATCTCTCCAAGGCTCAAGGTTGACTCAGCCTTCCATCCTTTCTAAGGTAGGTGAAATGAGGACCCAGTTTGTGGGGGCAATAAGCTGACTTTGTATAAATATACAAAAGAATGAAGGCTATTGCTTAACGCATTGTAAGCCGCCCTGAGTCTCCGGAGAAGGGCGGCATATAAATCAAATAATAATAATAAAAAAAAAAAACGGGGCCAGCCCACTTCTCAACAGAGGGGGGAAGGAAGGGAGGGACACGGCATCATCTCTCGCTCCAATCTACAACACAAGTCCTTTCCACAGTCCTTTCCAAGAAGGCACCCAATTTGCACCACTCAGGTGACCACTGAGGATACAAGTCAACCTCCAGGTGACCTTCTCGAGCCGCTAAAAGGATGCAAAAGGTCCAGCTGTCTGCAAGGAGTATCAGTCCTTCCATGCCCCGCCATCCCAGTCAGAGCTGAAGAAGCTTCTTGGATGAGAAGCGAAAGGTCTTCAAAGAAAAATCAAGAAAGTCCAATTTGAAAAAAAGCACTTTTGGGAACGGGGCTCATTGGACGTTAGGTATGTGGGGAGTGAGTGAGGGGAAATGTATTTTTGACAATAAATGAATGGTTTTCCAAACAGTTGGGCAGGGTTGCAATTACTACCATCCGCATCACCCGCGGTTTCCACGCGAGAGGAGCCCCTGCTTCGATCCCCATTCTCATTGAGGGGCGCGCTGTGCTCTCGCCAAAGCGGGAGGGCTCTGTCCTATATTGTTGCTTCAGTCGCCCTCACAGGAGGGACCCAGAGAAATTGGAGCAAAAAAAATCCCCTTTGCCTCCTTTCTCCTTTGGGCACCAATCGCAATCGGAGTTCACTAGGAGTCCTTTCGGAGTCACTCCGGGTCCCCACGCAATCGTGGGGATTGGCGTTAAGGCGTTAAAGAGCAGAAACGAGTGCTTGGATCTTGCAAACCCCTCCCCCCTTTGCTATTCTGGCACTTCTGTCCTAAAGTGGATTTATTTCCAAATTCAAGATGGTTCAATAAAAAATTAATCTCCCCCCCCCCCAAGCCTGGATAGATCTGCTCGCTCTCAAAAGAGCCTAAAGGACTATGAATGGGCTTCATTACTGTATTTTGACTCCATTAAAAGTTGGATGGGCTCTCCACACTATATTTTATTCAAAATAATAATAATAATTAAGAGCCTTGGCGCAGCAGACTAAAGTGCTGTTAAGTAGCACCAGCTGCCTGCAATTACTGCAAGTTCGAATCTCACCAGGCTCAAGGTTGACTCAGCCTTCCATCCTTTCGAGGTAGGTAAAATGAGGACCCGGATTGTGGGGGCAATAAGCTGACTTTGTATAAAAAAAGAACACCGCTTGGGGGGGACGAAAGCCCTACTAAGCAGGTATATACAAAAGTATGAAGGCTATTGCTTAACGCATTGTAAGCCACCCCGAGTCTCCGGAGAAGGGCGGCATATAAATTGAACCAATAAATAAATAAATAAATAAATGATGATGATGATGCAGTGGGGGAGTGGGGAAAGAGCAGCATAAGCACGCCTTTGATGAGATCACCTGTAGGTTTTGTGGATTGCAAGCTCTTAAGTCTTCAGGCGAGGAGACTCAACCCCCTTCCCGGCTTTCTCTTTAAAATCTATATTTTTAGTTCCAGAAGAATGTCGTAGTCTTAATGGGGCTGTGAATGGGTAACAGCTGGATACTCCCCCCCCTCTTGATGTTGCATTGATCCGCCTTATTTCCACCGATGTCCTCAGCAAAGGGGCGCGATTTCCATGCGCCCCCCCCCAGAAAGGAACTGGCGGGGCGGGCTGTCCTAATAATTGCACTTTGATCTTTGGCTTTTAGGCAAGCCGGAGGAAAGGCGAGAGACTGCCGTTTGGTAATTGCCGATTAAAAGGAAAGGGGGCGATGGGAATGGGCTGTTGGGAATTTGCAAAAGGGAAAAAGGAGCCGCGAGGTTTAAAACTTCTCTGGCTTGCTTCTTTCGACCTCTGCACTTTGTGTGATTGCAAAGAGCCTTGGTAGCGCAGTGGACTAAACTGCTGCTGTTAAAGTAGTACTTAGCTGCCAGCTGCCTGCTGCTTGCAATTACTGCGAGTTCAATTCTTACTAGGCTCAAGGTTGACTCAGCCTTCCATTCTTTCGAAGTAGGTAAAATGAGGACCCGGTTTGTGGGGGCAATAAGCTGACTTTGTATAAAATAGAACACCGCTTAGGGGGAGGCCTAAAAGTCCTACTAAGCAGGTATATACAAAAGTATGAAGGCTATTGCTTAATGCATTGTAAGCCGCCCTGAGTCTCCGGAGAAGGGCGGCATATATAAATTGAACTAATAAATAATAAAGTTCGGCATTTTTCCAGCCTCCTCTTCTGAAGGGGTTGGAAATGGCCAGCCAGCGGTTGGTGAACCTCCCGGGGTGGGGGTGGGGAGGAAGAGATCAAAAGCCCAGGAAGAAGCTCTGAGCAAAATCCTCCTGATCGCCTTTTTCAAAGCCCTCTCCGAACCAGATGGCTTGATGAGCTCAGGTCGATAAGAACCCTAACCTCTCTGATCCTCAACTTCGGTGGGGGGCGAAGGGAGGTGTTAATTGAGCCCAGTCTTGGCTCTAGATCCGATAACCAGGTTGGCTTGATCGAGAGTTCAAAGACAGCCAGCTGGCAAATAACCTGGGATCCATAAACCCCTTTCCATGTGGTTCTTTTCAAGATGAATGGGGGAATTCGAATGAATTCTGCTAAAGGGTTTACATTTAGGAAAACCTGTAGTTCTCAAATTATAAGATACAACGGTGCTCCCACCAGATCTACTGAGTTAGAACAGAATAGAGCTGGAAGGAACCTTGGAGGTCTTCTAGTCCAGCCCTCTGCTCAAGCAGGAGAACTATACCATCTCAGAAAAGTGACTCTTCTTAAAAAGTTCAACAGTTTTTATTCCTAAGGGTAGACACGCTTTCCTTCATCTATTATGCTACGGAAACATGATTTAAGAAAACAAAAAAAAACTTGAAACCTTTTCACAGTGAGAACTGTAAAATGAAATGGGGAGTGACCAATAGATTGATTTCATAGGGTTCCATGGGTGGCAGAGGAAAAATACTTTAATATAGTGATCGTTTAAAGTAAATATTTATTTCTGTCTTGCACCTTACACCTTTTTCATAATACGCTTCCCCAGAATGCCAAAAAGGAATGTGGCAGTCTGACTCATCAGGGGAGTACTTGGTTTTTAGGGGGTATAAGTAGCTTCAGGATTAGTATCTGGTGAGCCACAGAGATAAAGAGGTAGCAATTTGCTCCTGGCTAATCAGAGTATTTCAGGCACCTTTAGTAGAAGGGGGACACAGAACAAGGAATAGGCTTGGAAGCACTGGAATATTTGGGAGCACAATACAACCTCTAGTAGTGGTAAAGTTGCTCCGGGTAATGGGATACGAAGCCCAAAATATCTGAAAGGCATTTGATTGCCTTAACTGCACGATTATTAAAGAATATTTTAAAGTTAAATCCAGATGAGTCACTTTCCCAGACTTCTGCTCTTACTCACACGTAGCAAAATTGTAACAGATGGAACTGGGCGTTGAGATTATATAATTTGAACTGCTTACTAAATAAATCTAGGCACAGATGGTTGTTTAGCCTTGACTTCCGCCATGGAGCAAAGGAGAACTCCCCATCAATTCATTGTTTCATATTGTTAGAAAGCTTATTCTGTTAATTCAGTCAAAATTGGCTTTCATATGATTTAAACCCAATATTCCCTGTTCTGCATTCTAGAACAATGGAGAACAGGCCTTGGCCTGCTGCAGGATATCCTTCTAGGGATTTGAAGAATGACATCATAGCCTTCTTAATCTCTTCAAGGTTAACCATTCTCAATTTCTTCATTCTCTCCTCATAGGACTTAATTTCTAATCCCGTGGTTTTCAGTTTCATCATGATAGGGCATTAAATATATCTCTAGGAACACAAACACAGATGATTCAAGGTTGAGGGGCAAATAGGTAAGTTGCTTTTGTTTCAGGTTTGGAAGAAGCTCTACCAGTGGTGAAGATCAGGTCTACAGAAGCTAGTCATATTCATTTCTCATGTCTGGGGTTTAAATGGTGTCTCTTTTCCTGCCTTCCCAACACTATGTGAAAGCTGGCTTTCCATTTTTCAGGAAAGCGTCTATACCCGTGATGGCGAACCTATGGCATGCGTGCCACAGTGGCACACGTAGCCATATTGGTGGGCACGCGAGCGTTGCCCAAGCTCAGCTCCAGCACACATGTGCACACGCTGGCCAGTTGATTTTTGGGCCTTCTGGGCCCAACAGAAGTCAGCAAACGGGCTGTTTCCAGCCACCGGAGGGCCTCCGGGGAGGTGGGGAAGGCTGTTTTTACTCTCCCCAGGCCCCTAGAAAGCCTTTGGAGCCTGGGGAGGGCAAAAGACGGACCTACCGGGCCCACCATGCCATCACATGCCAAAAGCAGGGAGAGCATGGGGGGTCGCGCACACGTGCGTGCGAGGGGCAGGGCGCATAGAATTATGGGTGTGGGCACGCCTGTGCGCAACCACCCCACACTCCCCCAGCTTTTGGCATGCGACAGCAAAAAGGTTAGCCATCACTAGTCTATACAATCTTTTGACGGCAAAAGAGATACCTACAAAAATCAAGCCATGGTATTTCTTACCAACTAACATTGTTAGTTGTGAAGTCGTGCCCGACCCATCGCGACCCCATGGACAATGTTCCTCCAGGCTTTCCTGTCCTCTATCATCTTCTGGAGTCCATGTAAGCTCATGCCGACTGCTTCAGTGACTCCATCCAGCCACTTCGTTCTCTGTCGTCCCGTTCTTCTTTTGCTCTCAATCTTTCCCAGCATTAGGCTCTTCTCCAGTGAGTCCTTCCTTCTCATTAGGTGGCCAAAGTATTTGAGTTTCATCTTCAGGATCTGGCCTTCTAAAGAGCAGTCAGGGTTGATCTCCTCTAGGACTGACCGGTTTGATCGCCTTGCAGTCCAAGGGACTCGCAGGAGTCTTCTCCAGCACCATAGTTCAAAAGCCTCAATTCTTTGGTGCTCAGCCTTTCTTATGGTCCAACTTTCACAGCCATACATTGCAACTGGGAAAACCATGGCCTCGACTATACGCACTTTTGTTGGCAGAGTAATGTCTCTGCTTTTTGGTATGCTGTCTAGATTTGCCATAGCTTTCCTCCCCAGGAGCAAGCGTCTTTTGATTTATTGGCTGTAGTCCCCATCTGCGGTGATCTTGGAGCCCAGGAAAATAAAATCTGTCATTACCTCCATTTCTTCCCCATCTATTTGCCAGGAATTGAGAGGGTCGGATTCTATAGTAGCAAAATCTATAGTGGATTTTGAAGAGCAGGATAGGATAGGATGGATATGACACTATTGAACTTTCATTTTGGAGACTGAGAATACCAGAGGTTGAGGATAACCATGGACAATCAAGAAAACATACCAATGGATTGTTGGTTAAACCCATTAACCCAGATTTCTCATTTAAGGCACAAAAGACCAAGTTCAAATCATCCTTCTTTGGATATATTGTGGAAAGACCTAGCTCCCTGGAGAAGGCTCTTGGAAAGGTCGAAGAAAAGAGGA